AGAGGGGCATGGGTGTGGCAGGGTGGTGGTCCCCTGCCCCTCCTCTCTGGAGAGTTTTGCAGATCCACAGAACCAGGGGACCCCGAGAAGATTAGGGACCAGCAAGGCCTGCCTTGTGCCTGCAGCCACCATGCTTCATTGGCTGGGCCATGTGGCTCCGCTTCCAGGGTCAAGGGTCAGCTCCCTGGGGCCGGTGCTGTGGCACAACTGGTTAAAGCCCCAGCCTGCAGCGCCAGCATCCCATATGGGCACTGGTTCAAGTCCCAGCTGCTCCACTTCCGATCCAGCTCCCTGCTAATGCGCCTGGGAAAGCAGCAGAGGATGGCCCAGGTTCTTGGGACCCTGCAACCAAGTGGGGGACCTGGAAGAAGCTCCCGCTTCAGATCAGCTGAGCTCCGGCCATTGCTGCCATTTGGGGAGTGAACCATCAGATGGGAGACCTCTCTGTCTCTACCTCTCTCTCTGTAACTCTGCCTTTCAAATAAATAAAAATAAAATATTTTTTTTTTTAAAAAAGGGTCAGCTCCTTCCTGAGGGGCCAGGGCAACTTCTCGATCTGGAAGTCAACAGCTCAGCAGGTGGACGGTGGAGGGCAGCCAGGGGAGGCTCAGGAGCAGAGCCCCCAGTGGGCGGCCGGAGGGCTGAGACTCACTGGAGCATTCTGACCAGCACGGCCTCCATTCCGTCACAGCCCTCACGGGCCCAGGCTGGCGTGACTCGTGCTCAGGGAGAGGAGGAAGCCACACCCACATGTGCTGGCCCGAAGCCACCTCTCCCCAGGTTCAGATGCAAAGCGGCTTCCACAGAGAACCTCCTGTGTCCTGTCCAGCGGCCTTCGCAGCCAAGGCCAGCCACGAGTCTTTCCACTTGGTGCCAAGCACTCTGTAACACGGTGTGCTGCTAGGGAGCTGGGGGCAGAGGGCAGATGCCAGGCCGTCGAGGCACCTGGGGGAGGGACACACACAAGGAGACAAACCCCAGCCCGTCCTGGAGGCTGCCTGGATGCTGTTCCTTGTTCAGCAGCAACTGATGTCATGGACCACGCAGGGGACTCACAGCCCGACACCAGGTCAGAGAAGGGGTCAGATCCCCAGGCCAGCAGGTAGGAGGGTACCCTGGGGAAACTGGAGACAGGCTGGCAGGCTCTTAAAACACGAGGGTGCCGAGACCAGGGTCAGTCAGGGGAGGGGCCTGGATGGAAGGCACAGAGGGTGGCTCTCTGGGGACCTGGGTGGGCTGGGCTCCTCCTGAACCTCCTTGACTCTCAGCGCTTCCAGGCTGCACCTGCCTCGGGGCCTTGGCACTCACTGTTCTCACTTGGAAGGTCCTAACCAGACCTCTCAGTCATGGCCTTGGCTCATAGCTCCCTCCTGGGGCATCCTGACCTGATGGCCCGGCCAGGGCTCCCCGTACCAGTCATTCACCCTGATTCGTGGAGTAGCCACTCGCTAGCTCCAAGCCTTGTCCCCACTGTAATCCACGCTCCCCTGAGGACTCAAGGGTTCTAAGTGTTGAAGAAATGGAAGATTCCTGTGCCATCGTGACTGCTCCAGCATTGGAGAAAGGCGGCGGAGTTCCCAACCCAAGCGCAACAGAACCAGAATGCAAGCCACGGACCTTGCTAGGAACACAGGGACCGAAACCCTGACCACTAGCAACCCTCAATGAGTCTGCACCCACATGGCCAGGGGAGCTGGGTCCCAGTACCTGGCTCCAGCATAACAGGCCCTAGGACTGACGCTGTGGCGCAGCATGTAAAGCCACTGCCTGCGACACCGGAATCCCATATAGGCGTCAGTTAGTGTCCTAGCTGCTCCACTTCCGATCCAGCTCCCTGCTAATGGGCCTGGGAAAACTGTGGAAGATGGCCCAAGTGCTTGCGCCCCTGCACCCACAGGGAGACCTGGAAGAAGCTCCTAGCCTTGGATTGTCCCAGCTCCAGACATTGTGGCCACTTGGAGAGTGAACCAGCAGATAGAAGACCTCTCTCTCTCTCTCCCCCTGTTACTCTGCCTCTCAAATAAATAATAATAAAGAAAAAGACAAAGAAAAAAAAGAGAGTGAAACAGGTGTTTGCTTAGAGCAATAAAACATGAACCCGCACACTGAGCCTCAGCAGAACAGGTCCTTGCAGCCCCACCCTCACCCCAGGGGAGACGGCTTCACTCCTATCCAAAGCCCTAATGCACAGGCAGACTTGGTGACTCCACACCTGGAGGTTCGGGTGTGCATTTTCTGCAGCACTGAGAGAGAGGACTGTGAGCAGAACTGTCACCTCCCACGTCTCCTGGAAGGGACAGAGTCTTCAAGAACAGTGCCTGGAGGGAGAGGGGCTCCCTGCCTCAGGACTCCTCAGTGAGCCACAGCAGGGCCCGGAGGGACAGCCAGGAAGAGGGGAGGGGCTGTGGCTGTCCACTGTCCCAGCACACAGGGCAGAGGAAGGAAGCAAGGCCCCTCTGGAGCCCAAGGGAGCCAGGTGAAGACCTCACTCCAGCCATGCTGGGCAGAGGGGGCACCCCACCCACTCAGCTGTGGGGTCCTCTGGGAGGAACTGGGTCAACTCAACCTCCAAGCAGCCCATCCACCCTAGGTTCAGCCCCGCAGCCCCGTCCTGTGCCTGCGAGTGAAGCGTCCCCTGCTGCCACCTGGCCTCGGCTTCCCATCTGCCGACCAGGAACAGCCTGGAGGGGGCTCTGGGCAGGAGCTCGGGGCGGAGTTGAAAGCTGCACTCCAGGACCATCCTCCGCACTGAGCGCCACCCTCCGTGTGGCCGCAGGCCCATGCCTGGCTGGGGGTGGCTGGGCACACGCATTTGGCTCCCAGCACAAACTCAGACCCCGCAGGCAGGGCTGAGGGCATGGGCTTCCGCGGCATAACCGACACGGCCAGCCACGTGGTGCCACGTAGGGCACAGTCCTGAGCAGTGATGAGCCAGCCTGTGGCCCTGGGGACCCTCACCCACACTGTGTCACTCCCCCCTGGCCCACCATGGCTCCCAGCGACCACCTTCCTGACCTCTGGGCCACAGTCCAGGGTGGAGGAGTCCTGGGCACGCCTATGGACCCCGCACCTTTCCTGAGCTCCGAGCCCCACAGGGCCAGTGCAGGGCTGGAAATGAGGCTTCCCCATCTCCGGGAGTCACAGTGACCCCCACAACCTGTCCTGCTGCCCAAGACCAGCTGGGGCCTGACAGTGCGTACCCACACACAGGGAAGCTGGGTGCCAACTGCCCAGAGGGGTGGGGGGTGGGGAGGCCTTCCGGTCTCCTCTACTCAGTCCAACCAGGAGACAACTGTCACAAGAAACAAGAGGGACAGCAGGGGCCATGGATAGCCGTCACCCAAGTGTCTACGTCAGAGTAAGAACAAGAGGGAGACCTGTGGCTCTGAGATCCCCTGTGCCCCAGACCACAAGACCCAGACACGGAGACAAAGTCAGAGGCGACCTGGCTCTGGGTGCTAAGCCCCTGTCCAGCCCTGGACCCTGCACACCCCCAGCCCTGCGCAAACTCCTTCCAGTAACGTCAGCAGCGATGACTATCTCAGAGCACGGACGCCTGGCCAGACCAGACCCTGGCCTCACCTCCGTCCACACCACCAGTGCCGACTCTGGGGAGGCAGGGAGAACCCCTCATAGAGCAGACTGAGCTGCGCACAGGGCGGACACAGGGCAGGGGCTGGCTGTCTGCACTCACTGCCATGCCTGGAAGGAGCCACTGCCACCCTTCGAGGACGCAGGCCTGGGTGTTACAGTCCCCAAGACCTGGGGGTGGAGAGACCACAGGCTAAAGTGGGCGGAGTAGGGGAAGACTCTGCCTCTGGGCTGGGGTCCTGGAGACCTTGGGCACAAGGCCAGCCTCTTGCTGAACACGGGACGAGGCCTGCAGAGTGGGCCTCTTCATCCAGCGTTCCCGCCGGGGCCATCTGAGGAGTTCTGACGTCTATGAAAAGCAGGGTGAGCATGCACTGACCACTCCTGACCATCAGCGAGGCTCCAGGAAAAACCACTACACTTTAGCAAGCAGTGAGGCCGCCAAGAGGCACTTCTGGCTGACCAGGAGACCAGGACTTGTCCAGAAGCCCTCAACTTCCCAAGGCGGGTGCAGGGGGCAGAGAAAGGCGCAGGACGCCACCGGCAGAGTTCCCTGGCTGTGGCAGAGGCTGGGACTGAGCCCACACAAGCTTGTGGCGGCAGAGATGGGGACCCCAAAGGGAGGTCTGCAGGCGGAGAGCAGACTTCCGCGGTCTCTGTCCTTCACCTCTCTATTCACTACAAACTTGCAGGCACGAGGCATCTCCTGCACACGGCTCTGGGCACGGGGAGCCACAGGTGACAGCCTCCAAGCTCTGGGGGACCGGCACAGAAGCAGCAAAGACAGGGCAAAGACGACAGGAAGGAGAGGGTCGCCCCTCGGCACCGGCTGTGATACATGCGCTGCAGGGACGCAGGCCCCAGAGGTCTAATTTCGTCCCTTCCCGGCGGGGGACACCGGTGGGGTAGGCAGGAAGCTCTGGTCTCCGTGGTCATCATCACCAAGAGGGCGGAAAACTGCCCTGAGACCATCTCTTCCCAGGACAGAGCAGCGAGTGTGCCAGGGCCAGGGATGGGCTCCCCCCACTCAGCCAGAGCCCCCTGGGTTCCAGGAGCCATCTCGGGTTCGCCAGGTGAGGGGCTGAGCAGGCGGCACAAGACACGACACACGTCCTGGGCTCACCCGTGCCCCCATAGATCCAGACAGAAAGCGAGAACCTTGGGGCCCTCGGCAGACCCCGCGTTGGGACGTGACCTTGGAGCCGGGGATCCCGAGCCACTGGGGCGCCCCAGGGAAGCAGGGCCGGAAACCGAGCGCCCAGCAGACGCAGGCCCCCCGGACTCCGGGGCCGGACTGTGCCCCCCGGCAGCTCCGACGGCGCTTCCCGTCCTGCTCTCTCCCCCGGGCTCGACAGACCGCACCTGGCCGCGAGCCGCACTGGGGGCCGCGCCGCCGCCTCCGCACCCACCTCCAGGGCCTCCAGGGTGCTGAAGCTGGCGATGGCGAAGCCGTCGATGACCTCCTCCTCCTGCGAGCTCGACTCGCGGCGGCGGCGGCGCGGAGGACGCGCGGCGCGGGGCGCGGGGGCGGCGGCGCGGGCGGGCGCGCCGCGCAGGCCCGCGTTCTCCTTGCCACGGCCCGGCTCCGGCTCGTCGCCCGACGACGGGCTGTGCGCGCGGGCGCTCTCCCGGCGCCGGCCGCGGTCTCGCTGCGCGCGCGAGCGCCGGCCCGGCCGGCTCGCAGCCTCCATGGCGCGCCGGGCAGTGACCTTGACCCGCCGCGCTGCTCCCGCTCCGCTACGCGTCGCCGCGGGCCCGGGGCGCCGGGCGGCGGGCCGGGCCGGACATGCCGGGCGCGGGCTCAGCCGCGGGCCCCGCGCGGCCGGGGATCCCCGCCCCGGGCCGGGCGCATCGGCGGGGCGGTCCTGCGCTCAGCGGCCCTCGGCCGCCCCGCCAGGGGCGCGCCCCATGCGCACGGCGCGGCGATCGGGCCGACGGCAGGCGGGCTCCGGGCGCCGGGCTCGTGCGGCGGCACTGGGCTCGTGCGGCCGAGGCTGAGACGGAGGCAGCAGCGGCGCCCGGAGCAGATAACAACTGACGCACTTCCGCCCGGCTCGCGCTCTGGAGGAAGTGGGCGCGGCCGCGCGGCCCCGCGCCCCGCCCCGACCACGCCCCCGAGGGCCCCGCCCCCGCCCGCTCACCCGGGCCCACCCTGCCTCGGCCCCGCCCACTCGCGACACGCCCCGCCCTGCCCCGCGAGCTCCGCCCCTCTAGCCACGCCCATCGTGGAGGCCCCTCCCCCTCCGCCACCTGCGCGGTGGCGAAGACCACTTCGCCCCAGGGTCTCTGCGCCCGTTCGGAAGGATCTTTAAATGGGACCTGTCCAGCAGAGCCGGACACGAGCGCGCAGGGCCGGAGGACATCTGGGCGTCCTGGGTGGCTCCTGCTCCGGCCCACGTGAGAGTGTGCAGGAGCGGAGGCCCTTGGGCAGCCCCTCTGCCCAGCTCGCCCCGCAGGCCGCCTCCACCCTGCTCCTCACGCGGCCGCGGTCAGGGGCCTGGCCGCTCCCTTCACCCGAATCAGGTTTCCTAGATGCTGCAGCTTTTCCGGGACTCGAGCCCTGGGACCTAAGAACGCCCCCGTGCGACCCCCGGTTTGCATGGAGCCAGAGGGGCGGGCTGCGGTACTGGGCAGTCTGAGAGCTGATGCGTGACCTGAGGCAGACTTCCTCGCACCAGGGGGAGAAAGCCAGCTGAGAAGCGCCCTCCCAAGGGTGAAGGGGCAGCCCAGGTGACAAGGGCCCTCCGGGGAGGAAGGCAGCCCAGCGGTTTCTGAGGTGGCTGGAGGGGGGAGTGGGTGGGTGCCCCCAGCCAGCACATCCTCCGGCGGGCATCAAGAGCTTCCCGCGTCCAGGCCGTGTGCAGTGCAGTTGTGCAGGGAGGCAGCCAGAAGAGCATTTCTGCATCAAGTGAAAAGGGCAGGCGTGGCGTTTGGTGGTGCTGGGGGTGACCTCGGGGTGACGCTGGAGCTGACGCCTTGAGGCCGGGAGGAGCGGCGGCGCAGAGCTCAGGGCTCGGGGCAGAGCAGGTCGGGGAGTGTCGCAGACGGCTGTGCCAGGTCCTCTAGACGTGGTGAGGGCGCACTGCTCCGAGTGGTGCTTAGCAAGGGGCTGCCTCGCTGCCCGCCCCTCGGGTAGGGGCTGGGCCTGTCTCCATTCCCCAGTCCCTGCAGGGCCCCGACGGGTGCCGAGCAGGGCGGGTGAGGCCGGTGGCGCCCTTGATGGGCCGGGCTGTCCCTGAGGAGCTCCTGGGAGTAGGGTGGGGGAAGGGTAACCCTGCCCACCCAGGCCTCTCCAGTCTTTACCCTGTCTCCCCCTCCCCCAGCCTCCCCAGGTCGGGGCAGGGCCTCCTTCCCCCTCCTCATTCCTGGTTTTGTTATGAAAATACTGCCACCATCACCCCTCAGCATCCTGCCTTTGGGGCTTCCCCCCCAACACCACTTCCAGAACCCGGGCACTGGTCACAGGGACAGTACTGCAGCTGTCACCTGACACGGCCCCCTCCCAGGGCCACCGTGGGGTCTGCTCCAGGGCCGCCCCTCCCCGAGCTGGGTCCCATGGTGGGTCAGACCACAGGACACTTCCTATGCCCCCTTCACCCCCACGACAGTTGCTTGGAAGTTGGGGTTCTGGTAAAGAGCTGTCTCCTTGTCTGGTCTCTGAAGGTGCTCAGTGTGGGCCCCAGTGAAGGCGAGGTCCGCGGGACCCTAATACACTTCTGCTTTCCAGGGTCTCCCGTGATCCGCCTCGGGGTGGCCAGCGTGGGAAGTAGCCTCCATGTCCGGGGTCCTGGCTCAGCGGCTCCTTGGGAGGACTTGCTTTGGGAGATCTTCCCCCACTCTGGGAGAGAACTTCCGGGAAACTCCCCGGAGAGAGCGTGTGTGCTTGTCCACAGCTGTGCCCATTTTGTCCCGACTGTGGCACAGCTCCGTTCTCCAACCAGGACTCTCAACTTCCTGAGACCCGAGGGCCCTGCCAGAGCTTGTGCGGCAACTCCACGGTATCTCCTGAGATTCTGCACTCGGCCAGTGTTTAAGAGGGGACAGCTCAGCCCGTGGGGCCTGGTGGAGACACTACTGGTAGCTCTGGGATCCGCAAGGAGGGAAGGCCTATACTTCCGGGAATGGTGAGTTCCTACCTGTACTTCCGGGGAAGAAAAGTCCTTGTCAAGGCCCCCGCGGGTGCCTAAAGGTCAACCAGTGAGGATCAGACCCGCCTCAACCTTTAACCCCCACGCCCTGAATCTATAAAAGGAGCTCTCCCAATCTCTGACGCGCGACTTCCCCGGCCCGGCTCTGTTGGGACCAGGGAACCTCGCCCGGGAGCAGAATCCTAATGAAAGCCTGTGAATTAATTGATTCGTCTGCCTGGGAAGATTTGTTACGCGCCGGACACCTTGTAACTACCATGTCTGGAGCCACCGCCCACCACAGGTGGCTCTCCAGACTGAAATGTGGAAGTACCTTCCCTTAATTAATTTTAACCTAAAATGTAATGAGCCCGTGTGTCTAGTGGCTGCCTTGTTGGACCAGGCATTTCTGGAGCCAGGTTGCCACCTCCTTGCAGTGCCCGAGGCACACGCCATCCCTCTGCGCCGCACAGAGGTCTGGAGGTGGAGGTGCTGCTGATGCTCCCGCTCCCGTCAGGACCACCGTGGTGGGGGGCTCCAGGTGCGGCAGGACCACCGTGGTGGGGGGCTCCAGGTGCGGCAGGACCACCGTGGTGGGGGGCTCCAGGTGCGGCAGGACCACCGTGGTGGGGGGCTCCAGGTGTATCAGGACCACCGTGGTGGGGGGCTCCAGGTGCGGCAGGACCACCGTGGTGGGGGGCTCCAGGTGCGCAGGACCACCGTGGTGGGGGGCTCCAGGTGCGGCAGGACCAGGCAGGACCACCATGGTGGGGGGCTCCAGGTGTATCAGGACCACCGTGGTGGGGGGCTCCAGGTGCGGCAGGACCACTGTGGTGGGGGGCTCCAGGTGCATCAGGACCACCGTGGTGGGGGACTCCAGGTGCATCAGGACCACCGTGGTGGGGGACTCCAGGTGCAGGTGCGTGGGGGGCTCCAGGTGTAGGTGCGGCAGGACCACCGTGGTGGGGGGCTCCAGGTGCGGCAGGTCCACCGTGGTGGGGGGCTCCAGGTGCGGCAGGACCAGGCAGGACCACCATGGTGGGGGGCTCCAGGTGCATCAGGACCACCGTGGTGGGGGGCTCCAGGTGCAGCAGGACCACCGTGGTGGGGGGCTCCAGGTGCATCAGGACCACCGTGGTGGGGGACTCCAGGTGCAGGTGCGTGGGGGGGCTCCAGGTGTAGGTGCGGCAGGACCACCGTGGTCGGGGGCTCCAGGTGCGGCAGGACCACCGTGGTGAGGGGCTCCAGCAGCTGTCGGGTTCCTGAGCTGGGCCGTGAGAACCTGTGTGTCCAGCAGCTCGTCGGGAGCCAGCGGCTTGGTGAGGCTGAGGAGGACAGGACACGCAGCGTGGCTCGATGCTGCCCGCCCACTCCCCCGTGGTCCTTTAAGGGTGCCCCGCCAATGCTCCTTCCCCCACCACACAACCCAGAGGACCTGAGCACCCATGCTCCCCCACCCGCCAGCCTTGGAAGGGAGGGCTCATCCCAGTCACCCGAATCCAGGCCCTCCCCGGCCACCACCCACAGCCCCTGCAAATGGTTGGTTTCTCCCAGGCTTTACTGGCAGCCTCGTGCCTCTTGACGGCCTGTGCAGACTCTACTCGAAATTCAGCCTGTTCCCACAGATCCGCCCCAGGCCGCTGCCAGCTCACTGGGTGCCTGCCGTGGCGCAGACGCTGGGGGTGCCAGCCTCACCTCCAGC